CATGGTGCACACAATGTAAGGTGACAGCAGTACAGTGAAGTAAAGTGACGTATGATGGGCAGTAAAGTGACTTTATAAAGGGCGGGGGGACAGGTTAAGAAGTGTTCAAGAGTCCAACAGCAGAGGGGAAGAAACTGTTCTTGTGGCGGCAGGTTCTAGTCCTGATGGACCGCAGCCTCCTGCCTGAGGGGAGTGGTTGGATGAGTCCATGTGCAGGGTGAGAGGGGTCGGCTGTGATACGACCAGCCCGGCCTCGAGCTCGGGCGACGTATAGGTCCTGCAGCGATGGAAGGCTGCGGCCGATCACTTCCTCTGCAGAGCACACAATGTGCTGTAGTCTCTGTTTGTCCCTGACTGTGGCTCCAGCGAACCACACGGTGACGGAGGAGGTGAGGATGGACTCGATGATGGCCGTGTAGAACTGCACCAACATCTGTGCAGGCAGCTTGGCTTTCCTGAACTGCCGCAGGAAGTACCTCCTCTGCTGGGCCTTCTTGATGAGGGAGCTGATGGTCGGCTCCCACTTGACGTCCTGGGTGATGGTGGTGCCCAGGAAACGGAAGGACTCCACAGAGGTGATGGGGGAGTCCATCAGGGAGGGTGGGGGCGGGGAGACAGTGCTCTTCCTGAAGTCCACAATGAATGAATGAATGAATGAAATGTTTTTATTTTGAGTTCAATATACACAACTGAGATTTACAATACACATTTATTTTAAATAACTATGTATCAACTCGAAAAAGGAGTGAGAAGAAGTAAAACTTATATACTCCCACCCCTGTAGGCTATATCTCGTAGTCATCAGTAGATTTTTCTGCTTTTTGCAAATTAGCAAACGTACTTCACCTTAACCTATGCTAGAAGATACAAATAATAATAATGATAATAAAATAAATAATGATACGTTTATAGTCTCTCTCTCTGTCTATACATCTATATCAAAAATACACATGTATACACTATACATACACATACACACATATAGTAGTAGTAGTAGTAATCTTTATTTATATACCGCCTTTTCACTGCAGATCTGAGTCTCAAAGCGGTTTACAATTGTTAATTTTTGGGCATTTGTCTCTCACTCCACACAGAGATGGGAGCGGGGCCAGTACAGGAGGCGCATGCTAGAACTATTGGACATATTTTTAGTGGTAGGGGAAACCGGAGTACCCGGAGGAAACCTACGCAGACACGGGGAGAACATGCAAACTCCACTCAGAAAGGCCCTGGTCCGACCGGGATTCGAACCTAGGACCTTCTTGCTGAGAGGCGAGAGTGCTATCCACTCAGCCACCGTGCCGCCCATATACACATATACACAGATACATACATACATACATACATACATACAATGAATGAATGAATGAATGAATAGTTTTTATTATTGTGTCTTACATACACACTGTATGCCCAGCCCTAATGGGCTTATAAGACACCAGTAACACCAACAAAAGCACCAGATGCCAGACAATAGGCACACTATACAATACATAAACTTATTTAAACAAACAAGTCTGCCGCCTCAACCAGGCTTTACAAACAAAAGAAGCCAATTTAAACACATTAGAAGTAAACAACCATTTCATCTTGTCGTCATCACTGATCCAGAACATTTCAGGCTTTTGAACAAACAATTCACCAAACAATACATTTCTAAGATCATCGTACTGTGGACAATATAACACAAAATGAGTTTCACTTTCAATCTCTCCTAACTCACACAGTCTACAGAGTCTGTCCTCTTCAGGAGTTTGAGTGAACCTGCCAGTTTCTATGGCCAGGGGAAGGATGCCAGTTCGCAGCTGAGCCATCAAAGATCTTTGGTTCCTTGTCAGGTTTGCCTTTACATACAACTCAGTTTCAAATACATCTTTAATTTGTAAGTAAGTCCTTAGCTTTGGCTTTGCCATGATCCCAGTCAACCATTTGTGTTCAAAGTTTGACATTAAAATTGATTTGATGGTTTTAACACTACAGGACAAATTATTCTGGAATACATACTGGAGTTGTGCATCAGCAAAGACAGTCCGGAGCTCTGCAGCCCAAGGACACTTGTTTTTACTCCATAGAAAGACTTTTTTTGTTACTCTATTTTCAGACAGGTTAATGAGTCGATTCCACAGTCTCACCATTTCACATTTCCTTTGGATTGATCCAGGAACCCAGCCCATATCGCCCTGCGCTGCCAGCACGGGGACAAACTTATGAACTCCCAAGAAGCAGCGGATTGCACGGTTTTCTACAGCGTCTAAGGCTGGGCTCTGCACGGCCCCCCACACACCAGCAGCATAGTTTAGCACAGGCGACACACAGGCGGCATACAACTGAGAGAATGTTCCATAACCAAGATCTTTACAGACTTTTAACTTGTTTATCACAGAACCCAGGGCTCTACTGGCTGAAGCAGCTAGGATTTTAACTCCTCTGTCAAATGTCATAAATTCATCAAATACGAATCCTAGATACTTATACTGGGCTGCATACTCAAGAATGGTATTGCCAAAAGTAAAAACGTTTGTGCTTCGTGAAATAAATCTTTTCCTAAAGTGCATAATTTGTGTTTTTGTTTGATTTATAACAAGTCTCCATCTACAGCACCAATTGTGTAAAACATTTAACATTTTCTGTAGATCCTCTTCAGTTTCAGCCAGTAGTGCTACATCATCAGCGTAGAGCAGAATGCCCACAGTCACACTGTCTAGGTGCACGCCTAAGTTCAGATGTTTCATTTCAAGAGCCAAATCATTTATGAACAGAGAGAACAGGCATGGGGACAGAATATCCCCCTGTTTTACCCCAAAGGGGATACGGAACCACTCAGTCTGCTCATCATTCACCTGCACACATCCACACAGTCTGCATACAGGGACTTTAACGCCCAGTAGAACTTCCCATCAACCCGGCCTGGAGAAGCTTCAAACTTAACAGATCTCTATTCACCCAGTCGAAGGCCTTTTTAAAGTCCACAAAACAGACATAAGTCGGTTTGTTTTCAATTAATCTAGTTCGGACTACTGCTGATACCGAATAAATATGATCAATACATGCCCTGTGTTTTCTAAATCCATTTTGTTCATCTACTAGATACTCTGTTGTTTCCAAAAAATAACTTAATCTAGCATTTAAAATACTAGAGTAAATTTTGTAGACAGTACTGAGGAGGCTAATTCCTCTGTAGTTGAGAGGTATGCGTGGGTCATCTTTCGGTGATTTGGGAATAGGTTTAATGATTGATTTATACCACGTAGAGGGAACAATACCGTTGTAAAAACAAAATTTAAATAAACCAAGAAGCATATGCCTAAGATGTGGAGACTTTAACACCTCGTTTGGAATTTCCTCCACTCCCATAGCCTTCCTCAGTTTGGCCTTATTGAGAGCATCGCTCACTTCTTCCAAAGTAATATCAAAATTCATATATATATTTGATCGGCTATTATCACCCAAAATCAATTCAAGATTTTCTTTTACTTGAACTGAGAGAACACCAAAAGCAGGGTCAAAGTCTTCAATATTAGTCAGACCTGAATATAAATTGGAGAAATCAAGTTCCCATTTTTCAACAACTCGCTCTTTTCTCAACTCCACTGCACCGTTTTCCATAATAACTTCCATGGGAATTGTCTTAATTCTTTGTGGTCCCAATCTATTAATCTCTTTCCAAAATTGTTGTGGATTGCTTGTTTGTAAATGGTCAAGTTTTAATGCTTGACCCCTATTAAACCTTCTTTTATAAAATCTTACACATTTGTCAAAAAGGGACTGTTTCTGCTTATAATTTTCCCTCAGATCTTGTTTATTTTGAGGCACTTTACACTTGAGAAACTCTCTCTCTGCTATTGTTCGCTCATCCCATAACTTTTGAAGATGGGCGTTCCAAAAAGGCTTTACACCCTTTTTAAAATGATGTTTTTTATTAAATTTGCAATTTTGACATGAATTTATTTCACCTCTAATAAATTTACAAAAATCCTCATACCATTTATCAACATCCTCCTGAGTATTGTGGCACAGCCCTAATTTATTTTTAATTCTTGCACTGCCCTTCGGCAGCTAGTAGATGTTAGGAATGTCTCAGGGAATGGTGTATGTCTCCTTTTAATTACACAGGGGGGGTTATTTTCAGAAGTTAGTTGGGTATCCACTTTAAAAATAAACTGGATTAAAGAATGGTCCGGTAAATGACATCGATCTCCAATAAGAGGCAAACATTCTACGGCATTTTTGTTAAGGAGGTCTGTGGCAGTGATCACTTTAACATCAACACAAAATTCTAGACAGGTATGAGGCGTCACAACATAATCTACAACAGCTTTGACTCGAACTGAAACAGAGGTGAAATTATCATCATTTACATTAAGCCTGCCGTTTAAAATACAACACTTTGAGTCTCTCAAAAAATCAAGAAAAGAGTCACCATGACTATTACAAGTTAGATCCATCGCCACTCTTGGTGGAATATTGTCCAAGCCTTCAATGCAGTCCGCTTTATCAGCGATACGACAATTAAAGTCGCCACAGATGTAAATCGCATCCACATCTAGACTGTAAATTTTAGTCAGTAAACGAGCAAAGAACTCTTCACAGTCTCTCCCTCTAACAGATCCCTCCGGGGACAGATAACAAGAAAACACCACAAAATTATAACTCGTACTCCGGTGTTCAAAATGCACTCGTATAATGTCATCTGCGGACTTATCCACCCCCTTGATTTTAAAGTGTTCAAAAAGTTTGCTTCTAAACAAAAATCCAACTCCACCGGAGCCTTTTGGTGCTTTTATGTGTCTTTTTCTGTTATTTCCGAACCAGCTGTAACCGTTTAGCTCAACAACATCTTCAGCCACCAAATGCGTTTCGTTAAGGGAAATAATATCGGGGTTTAGGGACTGTAGCATTAAAGCCCTAAGTGTACAGTTTGCTTTTGTCCAGCCATTTACGTTCCAGTGCACTAAAGACAAACAAGATGAATCATTTCTTACTGAATTGACTACGTTTCCTCAGCGTCTCCGTGCCTGGCCGCCTCCTCTGCTACCTGCAGGAGCGGACGCTAGCGGCGGGGGCGCGCGCTCCGCTCCTCGGTCACCGCGCCGGAGAACCCTTCCATTCCCCGACACGAAATAGTCGGATCCATTTGGTAGATCATGCAGAAGCACTTTGAAGTTTTCTTCCATTACGCGCTCCGTATGCGATTTTGCAGATCTAATAAAGACTTTCTTAAACTTGTCCTGGGATTTCAAGTTTGTTTTGCCCCGGAGCACAACCACTTTTTCCTTAGCCGATGCAAACGCCACCTTCACCACGCCGGGGCCTGGTCCTCGTGCGCGTAGCCTCTCCAGAGCAACCAGCGTCACCCCGTCATCACAAGCACAGCCTTCCTCAATCACTTCCTTAATCTTAGCAGCCAGGTTTTCATCTTCATCATAAGACAAACCCATAAGCACAATAGAAACATCTGGGTCAAATGTATTTGAGGGGCGGCTATAATGCGTCTTTATCTTCTCCTCCAACTGTGACATTCTGGATTTGAGTCCGCCGATTTCCGAGTCAAAGTCGTCTTTTATTTTCTTCAGTTCTTGTTTCAGTGTCCTCTCTAACGAAATTCCAAGCGCATCTACCTTGGAAATCAGCTTTTCTTCAATATTGTCAATTTTGGTATTCACCAATCTGACCTCCTTCAGTAGCGTGCTGGTGTCATCCTCTTTTTCTGCAACTTGACTGCGAGTAACTTTTTTCTCAGCCATTTCAAACGTTTTGTGGATCAAAACTAGTGCAGATAAACATCCAAGGTTAAAACCCACCAAGCTTGAGGCATATATTTCACGTTTAGGCCACGAATTTGATCAAAAGACAGAAATGTTTGGCAGAGACACATGCACCCACGTCTGGCCACGTGGTATATATACCACCAAGTATATATCTATATCTATCTTCAACATCTGAAATCCCAATAATACTCCAAAACCACTTTAATCTTGTAATTGAAACAAAATGTGTCTATTTACATCCTTCTTTAAAGCTGGCACCTCATTTTCAAACCACTAATAATGAACGATGTAATAGAATAGATTGTATTGGCTTTTTCAGACAGAAAAGGGAAAAAGAGTGGATCACCCGCACTCAGCCCAAAGAGTTTCAAAAATATGACTCACAGGGAAAAACACTCACATTCACCTTTTGGCCGTACGTTTCTGAGGCTTTATCTGTCCTACAGCAAATACATGTTGTGGTTCTCTGGCCTTGGACGCTCCATGCACCGAGGTCATGTGGAGCAGGCAAGAAAATCAAGAAAGTGCAGGTAATTTCCAGCACCAGTAAATATGTGATGTGTGCAGAGAGAGAGAGATGGGCCTGGGCAGTCTTTCACCTCTGACACATACGGAGGAAGTGGAAGGAGATTTGCTCAAAGTTGGGAAGTAAGATTAATAAGAATCAATTTGAAAAACAAAAATGCAATTTATTTTTATAGTAGGACTCTGCAAATGAATGCATAAAAAAGTAATACAAGTAAAATGCAAATTGGTTAAATAGGTTTGTATGACGCTAAATTAATCTTGATGTGTACATATTTGTATTTGAGTTTGTCAGAAAGAGAGACAGAGAGGTACTTGATTTGAAAAAAAACGACGCAAGCTCCTCCCCCCTTCCTTTCTGATTGGTCTACACCTACGTTTCCGTAACACTTTTAAATAACACATTATACATGTACATTATTAATACACATGCACAGAGGTTTTCAGAATTATTTGTTAACGTTTTAATGAAAAAAATACTGTTTTAATGCACAAAAAAAGCGATCGCGGCAAACCATGAATAAGCTATTATCATGAACTGCACATTATAGGACACATCTGCAGAGGATCTGATTATGGATATAGGTTCAGTATATACATAAGTAACTCAGCGCGGATGTTCAGAATTCTTTGTTCAGTTTTCATGTAGTTCCAGAGCCTAATAGAGGCTTGATTCGGAGGCTCCGCAAAAACAAACAACTGAGCATGCGCTCAGCTGCGAGCATGAGCACCGATGATTGACAGCCCTTGGCATGACTCGATTGGTTTACCTCGACGGCATCGTGGATTCTGATAAGAGAGAGAGTAGGCACATAACTAGGCCTGACACGATAACAAATTTTGCTGAACAATTTATTGTCTCATAAATTATTACGAAAAGCGATAATATTGTTGTTCTGAGATCATTTTCATCTAATACAATGATAATGATGCAGGTACACCTTTTCAAAGAGAAATAAACTTTTATTTTTAAAGACCACCGCCGGAAGTGGCGGAAGTAAAAAGGCTTTTTGTGTAAAGTGCTTCGCCACGATGCAGCCCTGCAGCGTATCTTTGTCCAGAGACCTTCCAGAGACTTTATATAACAGCAGTATGTGTTCACAGAGGTGCGTCATAAGTTTATTCTATTATTAAACGGTACTTCCGCATCGGCAAACACGCTAACGCTATCTGCGCTAGTATAGTCACTACTAGAGCCTGAATGAGAACAACTACTATGTCCCCCATTGTCAATCCTGGTTAAGTCCTGGTTTAGTCCTGGTTTAGGTCCTGTTTTGGCTGTATTTTGTATTTTTAAGTTATTTCAGTCTGCCCGCTAGACCGCTAATGTTCCTGTGACCACTTTGCGGCTCTCTGACCCGAGAGAGAGGCGGGAGAGAGAGAGACGTGGAAAACAAACAAGCATGCAAATGGAACTTATCGCGGCCAGAAAAATTATCTAGCTAATTTTAATTATCATGCGATAAATTGATTTATTGAATATCGCGACAGGCCTATGGACAACACATGTGAGATATACTATAAAACTTTATAACCCTATGTCTAGACTCAAAATGTCATGTGTTAAATTCTAAATCCTTTGAGGAGCTACCTGGGGGTGGGTTGCGAGCTACTGATAGCTCCCTAGCTACATGTTGGAAACCCCTGCAGCAGATGTACTGTTTTACGTAAAGAAAGTTTCTCAGGCAAATGTTAAAACCATTGATTATTTATGAATAAAGTATGAAAAATGTCTAATTATTGAGGATAAAATCTTAAAGTGTCGTTTTAGTTTCAAGAGTTGAGCTTTACATCTTCTATAAAAGGTTTCAGATTTTGTAATATTTTGAAATGTGCTCATTTAGCCAAAATCTGATATGTATAAACATCACAAATCACTAAAATCACATGGTTTGACTGGCAGCTGTACTCTTGATATAGACACTCACTCATTCATGGAGACATCTTTCACACAAGTTGCCAGGTCTGGTTTGCATAAAAACTTACTGCAGATTGCGTCAGCTTCGTCGGAGCCGTCCGCACACTCTGGCTCCCCGTCACAGCGCCACCTAGCGGGGACGCACTGGCCGTTCTTGCAGGAGAAGTCTGTGGTGGCGCAGGTTTTCTTTGCTGTGGAGAGATTAAGTAAACAGGTCAGTGATTAAGTTCTAAATAGGTCTAAGAAAAGTAAATAACATGTAAATACTAGACACATTTTCTGTAACTTATTAAACAATTTCTTTCCCAGTATCGTTGGGGGTGAACTGAACCTAAAAAGTCCAATTTTTTTTTTTTTTTTTTACAAATTTGAATATTAATCAATGCAAAACTAATTAAATGGGATTTGGTTTTTTTCACAGCAATAGCATCTACAACAGGCCCTTTACGGTTGTGCAGGTGTATTGCAGGGTACTTCAAATTATGTCTAAGTATTAATATTAACTTGCAAATATACATTGAATGAAGTACATATAGACTACAATGACATGCTATGGATTAATGTATCGCTCATTCTCTTGAGAAAACAACCACAAACATTGAACCCCTGATGCAAGCAGGGATGTCACGTAAGTTAATAAAAGCAATAATGTTTTCTAAATATCTACATTTTGTGATAAAGTAATGAAAAATCAAGATGCAAGAAATTGTCTGAAAACCAAATGTCCAATAAAGAAAACTTGGCTGACTTGGAAAAACAGCCTAAAAATGGTTGTTACCTACAGTACTATGTTATTACTGGGTCAACATGGCCAGTGACCAAAAGGAGTCTGACACCCCTGTGGTATGTGGAAGATTTGCAGGGGGTAAGCAGAGCAAAAAGTATGGGAACCCCTGATCTACAGCATACATGTAAGGCAAGGCAAGTTTATTTGTATAGCACAATTAATACACAGTGCTGAACAAAATACATTTACATACAGTACACAATATTTTACTTCTACAAGACAATATAGGAACTCCCTTTTCCTTTGTTTCCAGGGCAGACAACAACACATCAATGTCTGTCTCAATGTTTTTGATATACCCCTTTGCTCGACACCTGCTGCTACCCCCATATCTCTCCACCTCAATACTCTGGACATAGAAGCCTTCCACACAGACACACGGAAAAATGGAGGCACTTGGTTCTGTCACGGAGCCAAACTGAAAAATCCTTCTCCTTGACAGCCATGCCTGGTGAACAAGGAAGCTACCGCGTATCATCACCCCATGAAATAGGGAGGAAGAGGGGCTGACAAATGGCATACATGGGACTGTGTGATGTTTGTGTGCCGAGGTTTGCCAGGTGGAAAAATGGTGACTGACAAAGGATTCATGCTGTAAATATAGTATCCAGATACAGTTTTGTTCATTGGCAGTTTGAACAGGGAAATTGCTAGGTTTGCAAACGTGTTGTGATGACACTATTGTGTATCTGTGAAATATTCTTTCAATGATGCATGTCTCGGCTAATCCGGGTAATTTTAAGATGATAATTTTCTTTCAGGGTAAATCTAACAGCTATCTAATGGATGAGAAAATGATATAGGACAGAGTAACAGTTCCGTGTAGCCTCAAGTAAAAAATAGTTAAAGTAGCAATGTGTAAGATTTGCAGGTCAAGTCACCATTATATGGCCATAATATGTCAAAAGGAAATAATAAATCAGGCTCTTTTTGAATACTTCTTTAACTGATAACAGTAGTTCAGCCGAAATATTTGGATTTGAAATTTGGATTTACAGCCTCTAAATCTTGTTATTGTTTTCAATTAGATGTCCCGCCCTCCACCGTTTTACCAATCAGAACCTCAGTGATCCGGGCTAATCTCACTGGCAAAGTAACATGTGGCCACAGAAATAAAAAAAGGTCTCGTTATGATTCTCAAATCATTAATTTATTGTAGATTTGTTGTTGACAAAACTCTTTTCAGGTATTCAGATATTACGGTTCTAGCTGGATTTGTCTGCATATCTGGCAACCTGAGTCAGGAAGAGAGGGGGAGGTTGCAGAACCACTTTTGACCAGATTTTTACATCTTTCTCTATTAATTACGTTTGCGCATTATTACCAGTAATAAAATATAATTTTAAGGGTCAGGATTTTACATCATAATTATTAATATTATGTTCTGCAAAATCCCCTCTCTCAATATTGTGGCATTGAGCTAATAAGAATAGTTTGTAACAGACTAAGGTGACAAAGCGGTTGTAAAGCGCTTTGGGGGACCTTGGTCTTTATAAATAAACATTACTTATTTTTTTTTTTATTTGGCATGGCAAAGGCATATGTTAACTTGAATTATGATTCTAGGGAAGAAATGTATGTGTCTAAATTTAGATCTATCTCAAAAGAACAAGATACTATATTTTTGTCTGCGCTTCGAATAAAATGCTCCCCTATAAGTCTGTAAATAAAACATCACAGGTCTTTTACATTCTCCTAGCAAAAAAAATGAATCGCTCAGTTCCCAAAGCTCTTTACTTCTGTCCTCTGAACTTCACAAGGCGCACTTCTTTGTTGGTTCAAATCCCCAGACACCATTTCAAACCAAAAGAGCAGCTTGCGTCGGGGCGCAGGGCAACAGCAACACAATCTCATGCTTTTATGGTCTTTGTGCAGGACTTCACATGTGCCGTATCAACATATTCTGGTGACGTCGGACATGAAATGTGCCAAAAATCCACCCTATTCAAATCCATATGAGTTGCTTAAAGAGATGGTCTTATTGGACAGGTTGGCTGAAAGCAGAGGTAGAGCTCAGGAGTGAAAAGACGAGCCCCAAATGGAAAACGTCACTTAGGATTAGAGAGCGGCCACAGCAGGAGACTAAGGTAAACATGAGGAGGGAAGAAAAGCCCTGCTGTCTGGGAAGGCTCAGGTGTAATGGCGTGTGTCTTTTCAAAGGCCAATAGAAATCCTCCTCGTACCACAAGCCATGTCATCAAATCCTATCTCCCCCTCTTCGCCGCGGAAAGTCTTATCCGGCGCTCAATCTGCCAACGGCATAAATCACCACCCTCCGAATAGTATGCTAGTTTTCTTTGGTTGATCTGTGCAAAATGATCGGAGATGTATACATTTACAAGTGCAGGTAGGGAGTTCAAAAGTCCATCCAAACAATTTTAGAAAAGTCAACAATGTCAATAATTGAGGGAATGGTGAACAAAACTGTCAAAAACTGTAATTCCCCTCAGATGGATCTTATAATGCAAATAAATAAATACATTTGAAAAGAGCTGATAAGAATATGATATGATTCTGCAGGGTACTAAAAAGCCTACAGTAGATTGGCGGCAGATACCAATATCGGACCAGGGCATCCCTTAAAACAAACTCAGAAGCACCAAGTGGAATAATTAGCCTTATTCTATTTAAAATAATTCATATATGATAATAATTATGAATCAAAGACTAAGACCAAATGTAATTTCTCACTCATGGGGTGGCCAAAACTCCGTTGTAGAGTTGTCTTTTTTTCATAGGATGGCAAAGGGGTGGCACTGTAAGATTGTGGAATCTTTTCGAACCAGGTACAAGTTTATTGGTCTGTTATATTGATTTGTGTAAAAATATTTTTTTTGTAGATTCGGAATAAAAACAATCACAATGAAAAAGTAATCCCAGTTCAGACTTGTCCAGAAGACACAATTAGGATGCAGGTGTTGCGTGAATAAAGTAATGCAAGGTCATTATAAGAATATTATAATAACTGTATAATGGTTTTAAATGTGTGTGCAACGTTGGCATTTCTCAACTATTTCCCAAAACAAACATCCGAAAGTGCTTAGTTTATCATTTGTGATTTACAAATGAGTCAGCTAGACCACAAACTTCCTTTCTGCTATATCAACAGTCAATGACACTAAGGTTCCTCTGCCTCTCCAAAACAAATTACTCTTGGGAAAAATCTGCGCTGAATATTTGGCTTTATTTACCTTATATACTGTATATTGAACATGGTCGACCTTGCTGCACTTAGTTTCCCATCTCTGCTGCTGCTGCTGAGGACTTGCTGATGCTCCCACAAACAGCCACTTACATTTACATTCAGAGGCAGGGACCTGTCATATACGAGAGTCATCCATATGGAGCAGTGTGGAGACTGGAGAGGGGCAGCAGGGGTCTCCAATCTGTTGCTCAGTCTTAGGGGAAACCGGAGCACCCGGAGGCTTTCAAAAATACAAAAGAAAATCCTCAATATTACTGTGTGAATAATGGGGATTTTCTTTCGTATTTTTATCCATCCGATATGTCGCAAACAGGAGGTGTTTGTTGGGTCACTACAGTCCGCCTTGCTCCGTTTTCACGCTCCATTACTCCACAAAGAGCAGTGGTAATAAAGCATCAAGCAGTGACACGACCGCAGAAGAGACACGGTGTCGCCTCTAATTAGGAAGTGGTGAATGTAGTCAGAGGAATGGTTATTATTGCATTGATAATGTCCTTAGCGGATGACAGAAAAGTAAGGAGAATGTTTTACTGATGTTTTTTTAGAGGGAGCAGTTGCATTTAACAACCACGGCTGGTCAAGTTAGGAAACAAAATATCCAAATTCTGCTGGACGTTTTTGTTGTATATTATATATACAGTACATATATTTAGTAAAATATTCAGATAGTATTTATGAACATATTGATTTGGGTAGAATATTCCACTTTATGGCAATAGCCCTATTAATTCACAACCACAAACGAACAATATGTATTCGTGAAAGACGGCATTAACTCACACTGAAGATTCAATGATTGTTTAAATTGGATGCAAACTAAGGCTGCAACTATAATGATGATTGATAATCAAATCAGCCTGATTATTCTTTTGATTAATCAATTGTTTAAAATGCAAATATAATGTTGTTTTAATTATGGCCCTTAAACTGCTGAAGTGAAGCCACAGAAGACATCCTAATAGATATATATTTGTTCCCATAACAGAACAATTAATCAATAAACATGAGACATTTACATAAAGATAGAAGTGATTTGTTTAAATTAATTCACGAATGATTGAATTTTGGTCGATTGATTAATAACAGATAAAGAGTAAGATTAAGAGTAAGAGTAAGAAAAGACATTACATTCACTGACTGTATCACAACCAAAAAACAAAGGATTGGGCTGAAGCAACTTGGCTTCTTAAAAACTCAATCAGTTGGCATTTTCACAGCTGAAATTTCCAAAAAAGTCACCTCCCTGTAAGCAAATAGAATCAACAGAACACAAGTTTGAACGGCCACAGGGGACAGAAAGTTCAGAAGAGCCGATAACGCAGAGAGGGGAGCGTGGGCGGAAGAGGAGCTGGAAATGGATGGTCCGCCTCATTGTTGCGATGGAGTAAAAAGGTAAAGAACGCGGGTTGTCAGGATGCGAGACGGGGGCAGTTTATCAGAGGCCCGGGTCCTGCATGGGGAGAATTGCGAATTGCGAAACCCTGGGAAGTGACTGTACATGTGCGCCTTAGAGAAAGAAGTGGACAGTTACACTTTTGGTCTTGTGGGGGAGATTAAAGGCCTCTCCGATTTCCCAATATTCCCGCAGAGATGCTGAGATATTGTGGAAGAATTCCCAGCATACCAATAACTCAGTCGAGGTGAGAGCAAAGGAGTTTGGGAAAGAACGTTTTTCATTTGAAGGATGGCTTTATATGAAGGCAAACTGTTTTACTATTGGCAGATCTACAAGTGTGTGGAGTCATTGGAGACCAGATGACCCCAGAGATTGGAGAGAGAGAAAAGTTATGGTAAAAGTTTAAGCAGGGCCAGGAAACTTTACATAATATATTCCAATAAATGAAAAGTTTTCGTAATTTAAAGTGCAATAAAACACAAGCAAATGTTCATATTAAATGCAAGACAGTTCACGGTCCAATTCTCGCTGTTTTTAAATCTTCCGTTACGGCTTCAGCTTTTGAAAAATATAATACATTTGCCTGGAGACAGATACAAATGTGATCAAGAATCCATAAAGAAGTTGGAAGTAGATCATTTTCATACAAGGCTCCATCTAACCCTCTCAATAATGATGTAGTATACAAATCAAGTAGTACAAAGATATTCTGGTGGTACCGTCACTTCAAATACAAGACTGGTCAAACGTGAATCAATTAAACTTAAACTTTTGGGAAACATTCTGGCAAAGTTAAAATCTCCATGCTAAATTTAAATTCTTTTGTTAAAACATCTACGGATGCTATACATGTCATCGCAGAGAATGCATAAGAAGACATTTCTCCCAAACTTCTTCTCCGACACTACTCCAGATATTCCAGGTTCAAATGGTTCTGGTGCTGCCTTCTTATGATGCTCCTCCATTGCCGGGCTGAGACTCCAGACAAAAAAGTGAATCATTAATGTGTGATTCCCTCAAAGACTTGTTGAAACAAGCCAATATTCAGACCTTCAAAAGGAGAACCTGTTCAGAGGAGAGTCCTGAGGTGCATCGAGGAGAAGACATCAAAGACGATATAGGGGGGAAAAAAGCAAAAACTGAGCCGGACTTTGTTCAGAGAGTAAAGTTATGCGCTCTGGGGCAAACAGACAAGATGATGATGAGTTAAAACCTCTGTTGCTTTGATGACAACTAGAACTTGTATTCATCATTAGTTCACTGTACCACATACTGTACTTCCCCACAATGTTTATAATTTGAAGATGTTTTATGTGCTAAAGGCTTATCATTTCTATTTTTCATCCATCCATCCTTCCATTTTTTTCCACTTCATCCGTTGCCGGGTCGCGGGGGCAGCAGTCTAAGCAGAGACGCCCAGACTTCCCTATCCACAATTGTTTGGTTTTCTATTATCATGAGAACTGGAGGGAACCAGGTTTTGCAGTGCCTATTGTATAAAGCCCCGTAGTACAACAGTCTACTCCCCCTAACTGGATTTCACTCACAAATATGGAACAAAATAGTGTATAATTCAAGTATTTATGGACTTCTTTTGACTCAAAGTTTTAGAACCGATGTGCAGAAAAATGGTGAAATGGTGGAACCGACTTGTAAGCTTAGAACCAAGGTAAGCATCAGAGTCATCCTAAAATCTTGGTATTTCGCCCCAGGCAGAGGGAAATATTCACTTTTTGGTACAATTTCTGACTCTTAAAGCAAACATTTAAATACAGATTAACGTTTTGGGCTGGCACCATACTAAATGTTAAGGTAAGGGTTAGGCTCGGCTCCTACGAGACGAAATACGTGAGCCCCGCAAGTACTAAATATTGCGTCCTCAGATCTCCTCAAGCCTCAGATGAAATACTTGCTTGTTCCATTGACCAATATTCTTAAATCAAGTGGCATGTTCCTTATCTTTAGTCCCTCTGTAACATGTTCAAGAAATGTTCCATATGCAACAGGCTGCTTCCTCAAGTTCAGCACAGATTGTTTCACGACAATGTTCATTTTGGTTTGAATTAATTTCTTTGAATTCTTACATAAGCATCTACGTAACAATTGCTACAGGCCTTTTCTGCTCGAGTACTTGTGTCCTTGTCATTCTCAGAGTGCTGTCTAAATACGGCAGCCCGTCTATGTTTCATCAGCCTTGTAAGATAAACGCAGTGGTTTCATTGAGTAAAACCGAATGCCTCTTTTAATCCCTTGAAAATCAGATAACCCTGATTTAGAGATTTTTCAAAGAACCCTGCTGCTGTTTGTCCGTAGGCAGAGAATACAGTGAACAGCAAAATATAATGGAGAAAATGTCCTGATGAGAGTGAAAAAAGCTGCGTCGTTGTTTAGAACAATTGTGGTAATTGCTTAGAATTAGGCTGTCTTCCGAATGCCATCGCTTTGATTTCCTCCAATGCACTATTGTCCGTAAACTTTTGAGCAGTCTCCAAATCGAGTCACGTTGGGTCACTGCTCGTCACCCCTTTTCGGCTCTGCACCTCAGCGTACAAATGAGGCTCTCAGCTCAGAGGACAGGCATTGGAGATGAAA